AAATTTATATCATATATTATTTTTATATCCGTTTTATTATAAAAGTGATTTAAAAATTAACAAAATAAATGCTTAAAATTTTATTATGTTTGAATATATATATACAATATTTCCATCTTAAATTTCGTGCGCGTTTCAGTGATATAAACCTAAGTTATACGAAACATATCGCAGGTCAGGATTATTAAACCTTCGAAAAAGATTCAGATCATAATGCGATGATTTAATTTTTCTTATCTTTCTCATATCGATATCTTCCCCTTTAATTTGAATTAAAGATATGTGATGTCCTAATATATTGGTTCCAATATAATAAAGCACAATGAGTATCGAAACGCTCGATCGCGTATTTTTTTTTCGCTCGCACGAGACTTACCGCTCGGATCCGGACCGATAGATATTTCAGGGAGGCTTGTGAATATTCGAGTAATCTTTGCCTTCGCGTTCGAGAAATTTCCATTTTTTAATCTTTGCTTTCCGCAGTTTGTAGCCTGTAAAACCGCTCGCGGTGCATTAATTGGGTCACATCGGTGCGCACTTTACCGTCACTCTTTAATAATTCCAGATTTCGTTCTCCCTTCTAGTTGAGAAGCGAAACCCGAAAACGTGGCTAACACGCGCATATAGTTAGGTAGGTATACGCGACCATAGTTAGATACTCGGACATATACAACGCGAGAGGGATGAAATCGCGGCGATTTATAACGCCGACACCGACGCGCTATCTCGCTGCGTCCAGCAGCTCCCGCGAGGAAGGGAGAGAGAGAAAGAGAATGTGGTTTTCCTTCTCAACGATATAACATCGACCGATGTGCGGAGGTGTGCGTTACTTCCATTTTACTTACACACCCTACGGATGCAATAACAGCGTTCTCTTCTGGCGAGGACATCTTTTTCACGCTTTTGCATTTTACTCCTCTCCCATAGACTGTGCGTCGGCAAAAGATATTTACAAAAAATTTCTATTTGCAAAATGTGAAATTATTCTGCTTTCCGATATTATACCTTGTTACAATCTTGTATGCGTAAACTAATTTTCCCCACTTTTATCTTCTTTATAATACAACGAAAAAGATGTGTATAAACGTAACTCAAAAAGGCAGATTACTCGAATAATAAGAGAAATATTTAAATTTTACGAATGGAATGTTGTAAATATGTACGCTGTACATTATTTTTCAGCTATGTAGCAGGATAGCGGATTTTTTCCCACACGCGAAAGCAAAAACATCGAATTTTTGTAATTCTCAATATCGCGATCGAAAGATAATTTCATGAATATGATTACACCATCTCCGCGTGATTATTTAAAGATAACAATCACGTTTACATACTTGAATTTTGGTATTCGGTGGAGAAAAAGGTTTTCATCTTTACCTATATGCGAGCAATTTTTTTTTTTTTTTTTAGCTAAAAGAATGACCGATTTACTTGGGATTTTCCAACCTGTTATCGAGCGCGTATTATCGTATAAAGATACACGGGGTGCCTCACTGTTGCTGCGCATGACTTGGCGCGAGACACTACCGTGTCTCTTGATATTAAAATTGATAGCATGTATCGCACGCTGCGCGAAAAGATCCTTCATTAATTTTTTATAATATTGATGAAACGCAAGCGTTGCGTTTTTATAAAAAACATTAATCCTTCTACTGCTCAAGATGCAAATTTTCACAAACGCTTGTTCTCGTACCTGCTATGATGTTTCAGCTTTAGATGGCTACGTTTTAGTATTAATTATACCGAGCATGAATTTATAATATACGAAAACTATACATCTACATACTGAGTTATCATCCTCACATTATATTTCGAATCGCATTAAAATTTGCGATTATTATAAATGCATTGTCACATCCACGCAAATGGTTAACGAAATATATATTTAGTAGAGTAAATATGTATACAAATGTCACGTAATTTACGATCGATGCAGAGCATATGGATTATAAGATAATGAACATTTTACATTATATTATTTATACAAAAAGTATTTTGTTTTATACATAAAGTTTTGACCAAAATTTTATTTTACAAATTGCGGTGTCGCGTTCGCAAACATTCGAAAACTTTTCGCATCAATCGCTTTATCGGAATTTTCTCTGGTATTCGCTATGGTTAATAATTTTCTTCGGCCGTGACGTTGTAGTTTTATTTTTTTTTATTGTTACTTATGCGGGGGGAGCTAACGCGTTGCCGTCTCGCGCCGATCTTAAAACTTCGATATTGCATTTTGCGCGCAATATGCTTCTTTGTCGTCAATTCTTTAAGAACCGGAGGGATTCATAAATTTTGTTCCCCCGCATTGACCGATGTTAGCGTCGCGCGTCGCCTCGTAAAGTTGCATGTTTTTCGCATCTATTACTAAAACACTCCGAGAAGCGAACCAGGCCCCGTTGATATTATATCCGTTTGTATATAAAACTTCTGAGAGGATATTAATCGTAATTTTATCGTGATGCATTTGTACAAATTGATGATTGCAATTACATTTTAAATAACTCGTTTTGCAAAATTCAAAGAGTCAAATTTTGGTCACATCTGTCATAAACTTAAAATAATTCTATGGTTATATCATATATGTTACATTGTCGTTCAAAATTCTTCTTTATAACTATATTTATATAGATATTTACGAATGTTATGATGTAACAATGAATTATTGTTTTGTACACACGAGTATTTAATTAACAAAAATATTTCGAATATTCTTCATCGATATTATAAATAACATAGAAAAATATGTATCAAGCTTCTCTCTTTCTTTCTTTTTCTCTCTTCTAAAAATACAAGTATTTTTTATTTTGCCATTTTTAAAATGTCGCGTATCCGATAAAATTAAAAATTCATTCTTATTTGCTTAAAAAATTTATTTTTATTCCTTTAGCCGTGTTTGCGTGAAGAAGATACCACAAGATCGTCGAACTGATGCCTGCCAATGCAGGCACTAGATACCAGCATGCAACACGCAGAACTTGATATGAAACGTGGAGAATAGACAGGCACGCGATCATTTTGGAGCTAGTCAGATGCCCGTTTGTCTATAGTTGTAGATTGAAACAGGATGACGTTGAATCGTTCATTCTCTTCGTCTTCGCGAGTCTCGATGATTGCCGAGAAAATATTATTACGTGATTGCCCGACAATAGCTCCTTGTTAAAAGAGAAATACCTAACTTGTATGAAAGAGACAACTTTGGAATGTAGTTCGGAGATACGTAAGATGATTTCTACGCTCAGAAAAGACTCGCAACATTATTTCGCCTGTGCATTCACTCTTACAAACTTCCCAAGCCAGGTGCACGCGTGCTTTAGTCTGGACGTGCGTAGACACGTGTCACGTGTGAAAAATGCATGCGAATCAAGTCACGCGAATAGCGACGAGACGCTAGCGCGCATTGAATATTTTCCTCTCAAGGCATGTTAGATCGGCCACACGGGCAAGGTGAGAAATCTGGGAGCGCGTTGATGCCATCGTTCTCTCTCAAGACGAATGTAAAAAGTTACAAACGTTATCCACACTGCGCGCTTCGAAATCTCACCCAGGAGGGTAAAGAGACTTATTTGATAAAAGTTTTAGAAAGTCGGATATAATCGGATACAGTTGATTTTTTCTTTTCCGTGTCTTACCTTCATTTGGCTTCGAAGCGTGTCCCACGTGCAGAGGTTTTGCTCTAGAAAAATTAATGAATTAGAATTATATATAATCATAAGTTTCTGACGGTAACTTGTATAAACGAGGAAAATATATATATTTTTTTTAAACTCTCACACTTACTTTGAAAAGGTTATTTGTAGTTTCCGACAGTGAGATTGGCTTTTATATTAGTTGTGTGTTCAATATAATGTCAAAGCTACTCCTGCAGTTAACTAGCAGCTTTGTTAATTTTTAATTGGTTATGAGAAAGTCTTTCAGTTTTACTTCTTTTTTAGATTCTATTCTGAATAAATTTGTAAACGGTATAAATTATTCTTAATTAATTGTCTAAGATTTATCTAGAAATATAAAAAAAATAAAAGAAAAAAATTATTTCAAAATTAAATTAACATTTTTAATTATTTATCTGCGTTCAGAAGGTTAAAGTTCAAAGTCTAAGAGACTCCTAAGACCTTAACACACGTTGTTAAGGATCAAGCTATGAGCAATTTTCACACAGATGTTGGCTTATAATTTGATTGGTATTAAACGATAAAGCTTTCGCAAACTATAAATGATATCCATATTCATTTCGGCAAAATTGCCGCAGTAACTGTGAAAGATGTTCAATGGTTTGAAAATCCACGGCGATGCGTCGAGTTGTCGAAAGGGAATGCGAAGTTACGAACGGAGCGGAGAATCTCGTTCGCGGGTGTCGGCGGACTGTGCGCAGATAAATAGAGTTCCTGGAGATCCAACGGGGAGAGATCGATGGTGTGGCATGTCCAATCCATCGGTGTGCCGGAAGCTACTTCTCGCGTGCATTCCCTGTTCCCGGCGTGTCTCACGGCATGTTGCAAGATTGACGAAATCGAATGAACTCCCAGCGGGGAAAAAAAATATCTCTCGTTTGAACGAAACGTGCGATACCGGAAAAAGAGACGATGTCATCACGATGTGTCGATCGCGTAGAATTCTCATTCACTCCACGCTCGATTAATTAAAAATTTAATCCATTTTTTCATCAATGATCATCCTTGATGCGCTGCACAATATATATTTATTCCATTGTCAAATCATGTCCGGTGTTTTTTCTGATTCGAAATCGTCGCGCAAAAAATGGAAAAATTAAACCGAATTAAATCAAAGAAAAGTGTGAAAGAAAACGTGATTAATTTTCATTGGGTGTTGTGAGTTTCAATATGCAATAGGCCAATTGAGATTCGAAGGAAATAAGAAAGTTTCTTATTTAAGAAACTATAATGTTTCAAACAAAAAATTGAAGTGTTAATATAATGTAATTACGTTTAAAGAATAAATTATAATTATATATATATATATATAAAGTATAAGAATACTTACCTGGCAAAAGTTATGTATCGTTCAGACTATTATCATTCAGACGATTGTCAGACTATTTCTAAAATCAGTGTCATGATATAATGAGACAAGGTGAGTTTTTTTTGTAAAATTCATATTGTATATTACGTGATTTCGTTTTTTTTTTTCGCGAAAAAAATGTTAGAATCAGTTTAAATTTATATATTATAGCGCATTATCTCCCTCTCTCTCTCACACACTTTCTCTCTCTCTCTCTGTCTCTCTCTCTCTCTCTCTCTCCCTCTCTCTCTCTCTTTTTCTCTTTCTCGGCACGGCATGGAGATTTGGTTGGCTGCATGAAAGACAAGGATACCTTCATCTCTCTATACAATATACATTCAGATGATGTCTTAACGTGCCACGCTTTCAATTTTGCTGTGCAAGATATGTGATATAATACGAGGCACAAATTAATTTTCGCTGTACGGAATTGTTTGTTTTCGCATATGTTACGGCAGTTACGGGCTATAAGACAACATTTGAATGTATCTTGACGCGAATAAAATTTATACAAATGTACAATATTAATACTGTGTGATAAAGAACATAATTGATATCTCAATGAATAGTTATAGTCAATTCAATGACTTTATTATAATTCAATGGCTTTAATCCTAACATTTTCCTTGGCATTTTTTCATTAAAAATAATCGTAGATTAAATTGATTTATAACAATATATATGCGTATATCCGTTTTTGATATATTATTATTGTAATTATCCGCTAATTTGTGAGCTGATCGGAATAATCGACAAATCCCCTTACCAATAGGCGATAGCCTCTCGATGGACTATCTACGAGAATTTTGCTGCTTATAGATTATCAATAATAAAATAATGTTACATAAAATGATGAAAGCCTGTTAATTGAAAAATTTGCGAGTTGTACGCGCAAATCTTTATTTTAATTCCTCTCACGTTAAAAACGTCTCTATGAATGCACGGAATTTTGAAATATAATGACGCGAATAGTGATAAATGGGGCCGAATCGAACACCGAACAATTTGTCTCGATTATCAGCCATTGTGATATGCGATACCAGCTACTCCAATAGCTCGATTAGCAGTTTACGTCGCGGACCTTTATTGTTTACTGGTTATCGGTTATTCGATGCACAGATTTATGATTTTGCCATTTCTAGTCGATTGCGTTAGGATAACTTGGCGGGATGTTAATATCGTGTAATTAACGCGTGCTAAACAGCATGATCAATATAATTGTGTTACAGTACCGTTTTACAGTGACCTGATAATTTGCTTAATGAGGATACATCTGCTCGGCAGCTTGCTTGTTATCCTTGCGGTTAATCAAGTTGGTTTGCAAGCATCCTGTGGTGTTACATTACAGAAACGTTTAAGCTTGATGAAACTCCGCAGGCAGACGCGGAAATCGGGGCGAATCCGAGCCGCTAAAATTAGGATAGGCGCTTTAGTGAATAACGTATCGCTAATAAATGATAATTAAATCCGTACACATAATCACATTGTATATAATAGTATATAAAGTAATATAATAGTATCTCCCTCTAGAAATGTGCGAGTGTATAATACTATCAATTCTAATTAATTGCAAATTATCCACTGGTTAAGAAGACATCCGAACCGGTCGTTCACTAAAACGTCTATCCTTTGATCAAAACTCGAATATAATCGTTCGAATGATATCGCGCTGGAAACTGACGAAGGTAGTGTTCTCTTGCGATACAGACACGCGCACATCTCGAATGCCGTGCGATCTATATGTTTAGAATAAGACGTTTCGAGAGATACAACGCAGCCAACTGTCTCCGTTTCTCTTATGTCAATGCACAATATGTTAAACGCGTAACACACTTCCTCTCTCTCTCTCTCTCTCTCGTTCTCTTTGGCCCACCCTTTATCGTCCACCCCTCTCTCACGGCAATAGAAAAGTTCGCGCGCGAAAGTTCGCTTTCAACGCCGTGGAGTAGTGTCTCTCTTTGTCATCGTCACGGGGTGCTTCTCGCCAGCTCGAGGTTCTCGCGAAACCCGCGTGGGAAGTCGTCAAGCCTTCATCTAAGCACCTGGCTTGATCGGGCGAGAATAGCAACGGCCAGGAAGAATAGCGACGAGCTAGCGGCACCCGCTCGTGCGCCGCTATGATGTAGCTCGGCTAAACTTTCTCCTGAAACAGCGTCAAAAACACTCACAAGGAAACACTCGCGAGTGTTATCTCTCCGACTTATCGGGAGATAATCTTCGGGGATATTGTCTAAAATAACGGTAGCCGAAACGAGAGGATCACTTTTATCTCTTGCGTTAAACTTAAGAACTGTCACCGATATTCCATCAAACTTTTACAGCGCAGTAAAATATACACAGAAAAGTATAAAGCGTCCCTTAGTTTAAGCTGCGACACGTCCGAAGCTCATCAAAGTCGGATGCTCAGATAGTTGCGAGTATTTCCTTATCGAATAGCCCGACCGAGTTTGCATGAGTTCGTCGTATATCAGTTATAATGAAAGCGTGAGCGACATGATGCAAATATCGGGAAACATCTTGTATAATTCGATTCCGACCGAGAACGTGCCGAGCCTATATTACGCTACGTAGAAGATAATCGAAATGACGTTTGCGCGAGTCTCACTCTGTATGTTCCTGTGGGACTGCAAATTCCGCGGCTCGTATTCCCAGGTGAAGATGCAGACGCGAAAGAGGCGTTTGAATTTATGAACGTATTATTTTCGCATATCGCGCGAAGCGAGTCTCGACGTGAGACGATCCATCATTGGACGATCGTGTCACGCGAATTTCTCTGTTATTTTTGCGAGATAGAGATGTTTCTGGCGATGAAATATATTTTCGTATTTTTAATACCTTGTTGAAAAAAAAAATGCAAAAAAATAATTAAAATTTATTTTGTTCCAGAATTGAAAAATGTAATTCTTCATCAATTTTATAACGCTTTCAATTTTGTAAAAAATTAAAATTTGCAAGCTTAATTTAGTAAAAAAAAAAGAGAAATATCTACAATAATAAGCAATGAAGATGTTCTATTAGCTCGAGGAATGCGATGAAGGATATTTGATGAAGATTAGCTTGAAAATTATAATATGAGCTTGCATCCAATAATATGTAAGTATATTGCGACATCAAAGCTACCGTGCAAAGTTTGTTCGCGTAGTTGGAAAATTCGACTTACGTACTTAGTTTCGTCGTAAAGCTCGCGCGCGAAAGCGTTTTAAGAAAGTCCTTTGCAACAAGTTCCATCTCGGACTTGCTCGCAGGAATCAAATACCGGAAGACTTTTAGGCGCACAGCACAAGTTCAAGATAAATATTAGATGCTACTAGAGTACGTACTTTAGTAATAAATAGTCGAGTGAGTCTATACACATTGTCAATTACTAAAGACTTGCGACACAATTTCTCTCTTGGTGACCAGTCTATTTCTTAGAATATTAGTCATCTCGAATGATTCGAGACAAATTTTCACGAGTTTTCTATGAGTTGACAGATAATATTTTAAAGACAGATTTCTTTACAAATTTTATGCAATTTTAAATTGAACAAAACACATCGAACAATAACAGTCTTGGCACGCTCTGTTTAACATAAGTGAATTATCGAATGGATGATACTTCGACAGCAATTCAATAAAAAAATGTCGAGAAAATATCGAAATTTAAAAGTCTCCTCACCGTTTAAAACGTGCACGTGAACCGTCGCAGGTTGGTCTGGCAGGGTTGTAAGCTGGCACGTGTAGTTTCCGCTGTCCGTAGGTCCGACCTTAGCTATGCTGAGAGTCGAATTGGCCCCCTCCTCCATCAGATCCGTTTTTACGCTGCAACCACAGATGAATACCGATTCGAGAGTGTTCGTCGACAATCTCTCGCGTATATTTTGTTTCACGTCACACGATTCTTTTCTTTAACGTTATCAAAATCTATGTACACTATCAAACAATTAAGTTTCGAGACTCGCTTCGCATTTCCGAACGTTTGATTCGTTTGTGCTGCCATTTTAGGGGGTTATTCACAACTCAATACTCAACATATGGTACAAGTTTTAAATTATTTGGTTCAATAGTTAATGAGATATAGTCACGCGAAATTACAAAATTTTGTTTAAAAATCGGTGTAATGGAAGAAACGCTTGACAACGCGCCAATATTAAATTCTGCGTTAAATTAGAAAAATCACCAACAGAAATGTTACAAATGATTCAACAAGCCTATAGAGAGTCAACTATGCGTTTCGAAAATACAGATGACATAAAAAAAAAAAAAAACGTTGATCAAATATTAAAAGAGTTTGCTTCAGAATACTATCAGAACTGCTGTGAGCAATGGCAGAGACGTTGAACTAAGTGTCTCGAGTTAGGTGGGGACTACATTGAAAGTTTTTAACTGTCTAAAGTTTGTACGATTAAAAATAAATTTTTTATACAAAAGTCTTGAAACTTAATTATTCCACAGTGTACATATATGTTTATCAAATTTTTTTCTTAACTCACTATTGCGACTTGTATCTGAGATAATTATAGGAACTACTTATTATGATACTTAAAAGATATGGTCGATAAATGTATGACTGCATATATGCTGACCACGATAATGCTCTTGTAAAAAACATTTCGAATGAAGTTGCCAACGCAAAATCGTTGTAGGGCGCCAAGGGAGAGAAAATCTCTTAAGGCTAATGAGAACTCCTCCATTTCGCCGGTTTCTTCGCCATCGTGTCTCGCTTCTTTGTCTTAACTAATCGCCAACGCTCCATCACCACTGAATCGTTTTTCTTCTCTCTTTCTCCCCGTTTGTCTTTTTCTTTATTTTCTCTCTCACCAACACACCCTCGTTCTTTCCATTCGCACGCTTTTACGCCAGTTTTCTTATACAAGGGAGAGATAAGTTAATTGCAAATCGAGCCAAAATTATCAGTTTTCGTGAGAACAGCTTGTTCCCTGTGCAAACAGTAGACCGAATAAACTCCATCGAATAAATGTTTGCGCAAAGTACACACGGACTCTATCTTGATAATACATTTTATATTGATCAACAGTCGTTTCTTCTTGTAGTTTGCAAATTCGCTTCTTCGGATACGTAGAATAATGATGTGTGAACCATGATGTATTGCTTATAAAAGTTTATATTTCCTTGAAGAATATATACATGATTTTCTACTGGGGGAGGGGGCGGGAAAGATGGGAGAACTGTCGGGAACAGAAAATGGATCGCAAAATTTGAGATAATTTACGCGCAAAATGCGCTATTCTTGATGATTTTCTATTCTTTGATCATACTTCACGTCGATAAAATTTTACCGAACATCCCTCTTACACAAATCTCCTATTTATTTCGTATTGACTCTACGAAACGATGTATATGTCGTATTTGCATAAACCATTGAATGGAGAAATATCTGTAACGAGACCTGTCTTTCACGAAATCGCATTTCGAGGTGAAAAGAAGGGGCGAAGAATGCAACGCGTCTTGGTCTAAATGTGCTAAATGCAGGCAAAAATATACCCGGTTCCTCGAGGGAGAAAACGGTTTCCGTGTGCAACTAAGCTATGCTGCAAAGACGTCTTGCGGAAAATTGCTCTCGCGCTTGACGTTTCTATTTTTGTGAGAAACTGGCGAAAAAAAAAGCAAGACCATTCGAGTGAGCATTTCAAGACGAGCAGGGGTTGCAGGTGGTATGGTAGCAACAGAGCGGCAAATATTAAGAAATAGGGAGATATATACGTTACGTTTATATATACAAACAAAACTGTGATATATTGTTTAAAATGTAATAATTATATATATATTCTTGTGCTGGAGAAAAAGATGTGTGTGTATGTAATAATATAATAGTTTATTTTGATAAATATAATTTATTTTGATAAATATGAATTAAAAATTGTGTTACTTTTTTAACAATTTTATCGGCAGTTTCACCGATTTTTGGCAACGTCATCGTGTTAGGTTACATGTATCAGGGCTAGTCATTTACCGTTTAAAGATTGCTTGACGCTAGAGTGGCAGACGTTCGTCCAATAAATATTTCACGATAAAAATTTTTAGCATCTTCTTTTTACTTTACTTTATACGCTACAGACGTGATCGCGTGGAACAAAATTGCGTGCTTTTATTTCGATACCATCCTAGATGTATTGTCGTCATGCGTTTCCTACGAGAGTAATACAAGTTTCCGAAGTATTATTTGATAACGGAAACTGTCCCCTTGCGTTTTGTTCTAACACTCGAATCGCTCCGAAAGACTGGATTTAAATTTTGACCTTATCTAAGGATATTATATCTGTAGTATTCTGTCATGAACTGCCATAACTTTTATACGATTTTCTTCACAAGAATGTTAACGAGGACGAGAAAAAGAGAGTAAGATAAAAAGAAGAAAAAAAAAGATAAAATTCAGTATATATGTAAAATCTCGATAGTTTTTTGAATAAATTGAATTAAAAAGAATTTGATTTACGCTGCTACAACTGCTTTATTTAATTGAATTAATTGAATCGTTCCGAGATTTTTTAACGTAAAGTATCGCTTTCATGATGTAATCCCGTCGTAATTGTTATTCCGTAATCATTGTTACTTTACACGTTCTACAACGATTAACATAAAATCCCACAGAAAAAAGACAAAGGCCGTCGTTTGACAACTGCTTCTCCGCCTTCGCTATCTTTAACGTAAGGGAGCGCCCTTATTTATTCCCGGTTACGTGTCGCTAAAAGTGGAAACTTGCCGTGACCGGGAAAGTGGTCTTGAATCGCGCCGAGCAAGCGAGACTTTAATCGAAAAAGTTGGTCCATTGCAATTTGTCGCATTCGTTACCTCCGGCCGGTTGAGCACTGGCAGACGATCGCTCGTTTATCCGCGACGTCGAGCGTCCACGCTTGTATTCAGTCGACCTAGGTTTTTGCAAGAGAAGATGCTTACGCAATTAATCCGATACGAAAATGCGAACTGAAAATAGAAAACGTTAATATTTAAATTTAATTAAAAAAAAACAAAAAAATGTTTAATATGAATAATGTTAAATATGAATATCTCTCTAAATACACGGGAATATATACTGCAGCTTTATTATTACGATTATTGTACTATAAGTAATTTTTGTCTTAATTTCACAGTAGTTAAAAGATTTAACATCGTATTTTAGTTTTGAAAGTAGTTCAACGTCTCGCCCAGCGCGTATTTTACTGCGTTTGCGAATAAAGTCGAGCCGCGTATCAGTTTAAGTAATAGGATTAATGTCGCTGCCGAAAACTTCGCTCTATGTACATATGGCAATTTTAATACGATGATAAATGGCCATGGGCCAAATGTTGGCGAAATATACGGAATAATTATGACATTGAAAAAATCGTGTACTTTAAATTAAACATTGTTTAAAGAGAGCAAAAAAGGGATGGGAGTGGGGATAAAACACCTATATTTCTTTGTAATCTTGTTAGCCTCGCACTTCATCTTTTTTTATCTCTCGCCAATTCGGGTTTACTTAAGCGAGCGTGAAATCCCAAGTTTTTCATACATGTTCGCGTATTATGCACGCTCACGGAGATTCGATTACCTTTTTCGCGACTTGGCTCGGGAATTGACAATGTACGATGATACGTAACGCAGCCGGAATAACAATGATTAATCGCGCGGGATATTACTTTGATCGATGAATTGATGCGGCTGTTAACCCGTATAAGCGATTAGATATTTCTCTATCTACGACGCAATCAGTCGAAACGTATTGGTACCGTATAATACTAGTCATTTATCATTCAACAACGGTGTCGACATGCGACAAATGTGCTTTTTGCCGATGCAGCATTTGTTATGTAAAATAAATTCAATAATCAATCTATTAGTATCCTCACGCGTGTGACATCGTAGGAAATCACACGAAATGGAAGTGACAATTTGTCTAATTAATTACGATTCGTTTTTTATCTTTATGAGTTTAATTTTCGATACCACAGAAGAATGTATCCATCAAAAAATGTTAATCCGTTAAAATAGCCATCTCTTCCATCCTCTCGCTAATAATTTAATTAAAGAATTAAAATATAAGCTAATATTGTAAATTTTAAAACACTTTAAATGGCAAAGAGACCTCTTATTCGAGATCATTAAAAAAAAATCAAGTAGCAATTTTTGATAGAAGTTAATACGTTCTCCTCTTTGGAATTTAGCATGCAATTCATATAACATTCCCGAAATTTAAATAGTTTTTATGTGGCACTTCCTTTTTCTTTCTAACAGATTTGAATATCTTTTTCATTATAGAATTCGATATCTTTCCTGTCACCGCAAGCATCGATCCTATGCTAATCTGCCTCATTTAGTTGTCACTCTTTTGATTTTTCGATATTCTCGGTTTATTTTCTTACAGTAAATAGGATATTAGTTTATAGACAAATACGCGCTCCTTTGGGTACTGATGTATATTGATCGAGCTCTACCAGCTTGCTCTGCAATTAATTGTAAGTTAATTGCTTACCGTTGATCGAAGAGAATCTAAGTAAAAGTCGGAATTGATTTCACTATAGAGAGACAAAAATATTTAAAAAAGTATATTTTGTAATAGAAGAGCACCAGTGCTCTTGTAGTTGCCTGTCATATTATTCTTATTTTAATTTTGTATCGCGTGTAAGAATGAGTCGACGCTTGATGGATCGCCACTGCTTTGACAGAAGAAACCAAAGTACGAGGGAGACTGATCATTAATAAATCCAGGCGAGCAGTATATGTCCTTCATCACGACGTAGATTGGGTCAAGTTTAATTTATGTTGCGGATAAATTAAGATAGATCGTAAATATAACGTTAATTCTCGACGACGCGGAAAATTCGATTTAACGCCGGTCAACTATGGCCACGCTTTCTGCATTACTATCGTCGTCGTAACTGGAGGTTTAATTACGATCCCGAAAATTTAACATAATTTGACACTGCATAAAATGCTATTTCCCTCTCCCCCCTTATGTCTCACGACCGTTACGCCGTCAAGGGTTGTAGTGTAATTTAATGGATTAAACGCCATGTTAAGCGCAATAAATTCATTGTTACGTTGCCTTTAAAATGAATAACGCTCGCAACTAATTCGATTAACCGTCAATTTATAATCATGATTATATCACGATTATATCGCCACTTTGGAGAGTAATGATTAGTATGAAATTAAAATATGTATTCTAACGATTCATATTCTTTTTAAAAATCTTGAAGGAGAAAATTTTTCGTGCTCTGTTTTCGTAGAATCTGACACTATTTTGCATTCGTATGTAGAAGTTGATAGTTTTGAAATAGACATTTTAATATATATCTATAATATTTATAATAATATATATTATAATATATATACATTATCGAGAAATAAAATAATCCAAGTTTTCTTTATGCGCCAAAAATAAAAACTAAAAAAACTATAAAGTATGAGCATTAAAGGGTTGTTAAATAAATGTTTTTTTCCTAAAAAACGTAAATAATTGTCAAAAAAATCTTTAATATGTAAAACGTGAGACGTTTCGACACTGTCAAAAATGTAAGTTACTATCTTCCTTTTGACTTCTAACGAAAATTCTTTCAGAATACCGCAACGTTGTTTGTCTTTTTTTGCATCGATGCACTGGAACCGACAATGGGGTATCTAAAAGTACGAGGCCATCAGCAACGCGTCGTTAAATTATGGGAGAACGGGGACGGGGGGGTGGTGGGAGAGGGGGTCAAGTCGACGTTGGGTGATTAATTAAACGAAAGGTTAAATTAAGCGAGATAGCAATAATTCTCGTCCGGCGCTGTAGACGCTGCTACGTTGGGAAAACGAGTGCCATGGCACTGCAGCAGTTCCATGTGCAACGTGTTTACGGTCTGCGGTCCACGTAGGGTCATACGTCCCATGTGAGCGAACAAGAAAGGGGGAGAGAGAGAGAGAGAGAGAGAGGGAGAGAGAAAACATTTGACATCGGTTCCCACAGGATGTAGCCCGAGGTCAACTCGAACAACGTGCATTCACAGATACCGAAACAAGCTTAAAAATTGTCGTGACACGACGAAAGATTCTAAGGACAAATAGAAATGATAGACACATAGAATCCGAGAGAGACGTAGAATCGTTCTTATATAATTCATTCAAGAGATTTTTTATTTAATTTACTTTTAAACGGATTCTCAAAAGCGCGTTAATTAATATTATGTGTCACACGGACGGAGCAAAATATTTAGCGCCGGTGCAGCGCTGCATGACTGCCGGGGGGGAGTGGAGATCGCAGGGGGACACGCTATTCCGTTCCTCGCAACGAGAACCACGACCCTCGTGTATGTACAGTCGTTCGTATGTGCAGAAGCGCGCAACGCAAACTAATTTCATTTACTGCCCCGCCGTGTGTCTCGCCGGCGCCTAACTTTACTGTCAGAACGGGCCCACAGAAGCGTCGGTCTCGACCAAGAACCGGTCCCCCGAACACCGAAACCTTTCCCATCGACACGCCGCCGTTCAGCAGAGCTTTCGCGGCTGCTGTCATCAACCGTGTACAACCGCCCCATGTGAGCGCTGTACCGGCACGTATTTTCGGATCCTTCGGGAATTCTCGCATTCTGGCCCGAGGAAATCTCTCTCGCGAGTCCGAGAAAAGGCGTATTGGAAGCGATGACGTTCATCGTTCTGCGAGAGATACGTACACTTCTCCAGAACTACTCTTACTTTACACGAGAAGTGTAAATTGTCAGTGTTCTCCGAAGCTTTCCCCAAAGGATAGCTCTCGCTAATAGATCTTGACGTAGCTTGTCATTTTTTATTTATATTATAATATAATTTTTCCCACAATTTATATTTACGTTAAAAAAAAAAAAAAATTTCGAATTCGATGATTCTTTTCGTATGACAGTAAAGTAAATTAATTATCAAAAACACACGAGAGAGTATCATCGCTGCACACTTATGCGAATGTTAAATTTTCGTTTTGTTCGGTTCTTTTGAATTCTACAGTGGACATAATTCAGCGTGATAAATTACATCATTTATCATGTTTAATAAAAGCGATGCTGGACGAGACAAGAAAAACACGAATATGCGACAACTTATAAATGGGATAAAAATTTCGCAAGTGTTTTTCCGAGTTTCGTGAAATTTTCAGGCACGACTTGAAAACGAATCGAAATACGTTGCATAATGGAATGCTTTGTATCCATATCTTATTGATCCATGACGTGAAACGAACTATATATTAACGAAGCTTAATACCCGACGGCGTGTCTTGCTCTCTCTCTCTCTCTCTCGCCTTTTTCTTATTTCATCCTAACTTTTATTCAGCGCGACAGCTGAACGAGTCCGTTCGCTATTATACGGATCGTGGATAATGAATTCTTATGCTCCAGAATCAGTTCGTTGAAATTCCACTGTTCCAGCCAACTCTTGAACTCAGGAATCTATAATAATATATAATTCACGACAATGAGAGCGAGTCGTATTTTTTAACGCTCCGAAGCTTTGGAACGCTCCGATTTTAGACGTACAAGGGATAAGAATTACATGCGCGATCTAGATTTGACTTTTCCGGACCGTTTCCGCCAGTTGACACAGAGTCTTTCAACAAGCGAGTCGTATTTTTTAACGCTCCGAAGCTTTGAAACGCTTCGAAGCTTTGGAACGCTCCGATTTTAGACGTACAAGGGATAAGAATTACATGCGCGATCTAGATTTGACTTTTCCGGACCGTTTCCGCCAGTTGACACAGAGTCTTTCAACTGCGCGTAAATGCTCGTCAAACAAGGAAAAGTTTCGTGAATTAATTACACTCCGCTCGCATAACCGCGTCAAGTTTGCTGACGTTTAGATTATACATTTCTCGTATTTGCCGAGAAGCGTTTTGAGTTAGAACGACTTCGCGCAAGTAAATTTCGAATATAATAGAGCTATTAAGCTTAAAAACCTTTTCGCATCATTTCGCAAATTTCGCTCTATCCTCCTCTCTCTTTCTTTCTCATGGTAACATCTTACTAAAATTATGTATCTTTTTATGCGTCTGTCTTTCATGCATGGATAATCATAAGATAAAACGTATGGTATTTCAATGTATAAGATGCAAGTAAAACGTCTAATAAATGAGGGATAAACAGACAAGAGTGTCGCTTATACATAAATGCGATATAAGCTGACTGGGCGGATTAACGGGAGGATTGTCACTGCTCTCAGGTGGCACTAAACAGCAGGAAAAGAACGCGATATTCAAGAATGTTTAAGTCACCTGATGCCGCCCCTTGTCGTGTCGTAGTTCAAGACTCTGTTGCCGTGAAGCCACTGGACGACGCTGTATTGTACTTGCATCGCTATATGACGCACGACGCATTGTAGTTCGATGGTGCTATCAGCCTCGTAGTACTTGTCCCGCAATGGTTCGCCCAGGGCGTCCACTATTTGGACGGACGGTGCTGAAATTCGATGTGAAACGAGTTACACAAAAAATAAAACTTATCGATAAATTTTACTCTCCGATTTTTACAATTGTGTCGAGATATCGAAACGGTAAAAGAAATTCTGAGATTCAATAATAATGATACTTTTTGTTACTTTTGTTACTTGATACTTTTGTAAGGAAAGAGAGTAGTACACTTTTCAAGAGTGCATCGTTATCTCTTTGCGTGGCGAACATTTGACTAGATTTGAAGCTATAATTTTTCGGTCAAGAAGAAAAATATTGGCGTAGCCTGTTAGGAGCTTTCCACGAGTGCATTTTCCTAAAAGTTTTTATCCTTTTACAAGAAGTTTTGGAGCCACTATATTGAGGTAAAAGTACTTACTATACGTTTGGTTTAAACATCGCAGCATCGTAGCTTGCTTGAAAGTTGTATATGCGTGATGTAGTTTGTACGAAGCGCATAACTCTCGTCAAACTCTCGTAGAAAAAAAAATTATCCCATTATTATGGCAGCTTTGCTGCAGCGCGTATAAAATTAATTCAATCACAACAAATCTGTATTAATAAAAGATCACTTTTATCTCACAAAATTTACATGTCGTATTTTTTCGCGTATAAACAATATGAAAAATTAAATCGCAAGGATTTGGCATCAGTAAAGAAAAATTCCATTATTGACGTCGGCAATTAATTGGTAATAAGGGACAATTGGTCGAAATTGGAGCTTATGTGAGTTAATTTCGTGAGAATAATACACGCAATTTTTACTTTGTGGCGCATGTTTATCATTGTTGATGCAATATGTAATATTATGTCTTATAGTAATTTTTTTACTTGAAAGAGATTCTTGTATTCTATAACGCGATCAACATTATTTGCTGTCAATGGAAGTTTGTCGCGGCAATTTGCGCGTCATGAAATTCGGCCGTATATACGAGCCTGATATTGGATTACATCGAACTCGACTTCAAATATTTAACTTTATGGGCCAATAAATATCTCTCATATTGACGTCATTGGGTTGTCCACACGATCGAGCATCCAAACGCGATCGAGCCGCCCAATTCATTCGTATATCCCCATCGACGCGACGTCTTCCATCGAGCTGGACCATTTCCAACACACTCTCTCTCTCTCTCTCTCTCTTTTTTTCTCTCTCTGATACTGGATACCTATTTACCTACTTGCGTAGGTATATCGCGTCCGAGCAACGTACGGCTACCAAAGAAAAATCACAAAAAAGAGAAATGTTTTGGAGATAGATCAGAGTCCTCCTCCCCGATCCTGGTGCCCGACCTCATGAATACCACGCAAAATGTAATCTCTTTCGCGCTTGCCCTTTTCTCTTTCCCCTCGGCCTTTTTTTTCTTTACGTTTCCCATCTGAGGTATGCCGCGTTTTATTCCGCCCGCTTTTACGCAACGCGATACAAAATTTTTCCCCATTCCACTCACCATGTGTGGAAATATGTTTTTCGTTCATTTTCCTTTTCTTTCTTCTTCACCCGATTATTCCACGTTAACGCTCGCAAATTTCGAGGTATTACATATTTTTGCAGTTAGTACGAATAATAAAACTTCAACCAGATGTTTAAAAAAAAAAAAAAAAATACTTACCTGTGTTTAATATTGTTGCAACATGAAATGTCTAATCATAAATTAAGCGAGTAAGATTTATATGTAGATGAAATTATTTTCAGTAAAAACACACACTAAAATTTTGTAATATCAACTTGACAAGAATATCTTTACTCGTATCTCATTTCTGTCACAGAACGCGTGAGAAATAAAACTTGAAGGTTTCTCGCTGTTAAAACTGAATCTAGAAAGACACATCATTCATTTTGCTCTTAAATTTGAAGAGAATATATGAAGTTGCATATTTGCTATAAAACTCCTGGTGTATTGGAATCGTTAAAGTCTTTCCATTCTTTCTTTTATTAATATCTTCTCTTGATGGAAGGGACACGTGTCGACTAAATTGCCAGAGAGATTGGCTGCATAGAAAGACAGACGACAGATGGAGGTCGAGGAGAAAGGACTGCATACCAAAATCTCGGCTACTTTATCTCGCGCAGTCTCAGCCTCTTCTCTTCTAGATTAAGTGTTGATCCTCCGTTTTACGTGCGCTCGTCCTAGTAAAAGCGACGATCTCTTTCTTGAATGTAAGTATCCAGTAAAACGAACGAGATTATTTGCTTTGCATTGTTCTTCGTATTTGTTATCGTATCTCGAATATTTATATAAATCATACCCATCGTTGTACCGAGAATCATCCGAAAAATTACTTTTCCGATATTTGTATTTTGTATCGCATTACCTGTAAATAATTGTGGACAGTTTTATTCGAGAGTTTAATTGGCTCATGTCATTGTTAGCAGCTCAAAAAATCGATACTCTCTATCTCTCTCTTTATATCTATGTCTATTCACGTACATAATAACTCGCAATTTTCTCACACCGAACCAAAAATAGCATTGATAATCGATTGGAATATGCAACAATAGTCGGACCGGATGCATTCACGTCACGTGCGTTAATTATTGTACGATGCAATCGTGATACATCGATGAAACGCGATTGCAAGATTTGTACAATAGGCAATTGTGCTCGCCGTAATTTAACTTTCAAAGTTAAACAGATACGAAAGGGAATTGTTCTTTCAATGGTATTCGATGCATCGAACCACGTTATAAACGATCGCGTGAAAATCGGGCGTACAAAGGCGCCGGCAGCATGGAACGATTAAACTATAATTGTATGAATATCGAGTGACATCTTGATAATAAAGAGCGCAAAATAAATGGCTAATAAAAATAACATCTGTGTCGCCGCGACATTTCACTGTTAGCGAAAAAAAACAACCGTAATAATAATTATTATTTCTATCAAAACGATTAACACATACGGCATTCTTTCAAGAGGTAATGGACGAACGCTACTATTTTGATAAATTAATAGAGGAAATAAAGGAATGCACCGGAATAAAAATGCGGAGGACGTTAAGCAGATAATCCCTTTGAACTTGCGTTAAGAAATTTCCCGCTGTAACACGAGGAAGCTACACTCATCTCATCCCACGTAGAAAAGCGGAAGCTTACAATATAATCTCACATCGGCAAAGGCGCGCAGACCAGGAAATAAGTAAAGAGAAAACTCGCCCTAATACTTTTTTTTCCTTGTAAGCCTGTAATTTTATGCGATCCGGCAAAACCTTAATACGACATCGCATTTTTATCTACAAATTAATCCATTAAAATCTTTGATACGCACGTTATTTTTTTTTCGAGAGAAAGAGAGAGAGAGAGAGAGAGTCTAAGATATATTTTATATATAACTAGACCAAAAAGATTGTAATTAGAAATTACAGTAATTATTAATTTTTTGTGTTTCCTAAAGTTATAATTTTGAAACTTTTTTAATAAACGTATACCGTTATCTTATCTTCATTCTCGTCTTTTAAGGTTGACTGTCGTTTCCGAGAAAAACACAGTCTTATTGTCCACCGTAGCCTTTTAAAATTACACAATCTCTCCCCCCACGTTTATTAAAATCTTTCTGCCGTTTGCAATCGTTCCGTTGTCCATTTCTCGCTCCAGTTCCCCTCTAGCTGCCATTTCGCTCTCGTATCCCCTCATTTTGCCGGATGGCTCGACACATCTCGATTTCATCCCGAGCTAGAACGAGATGAAGTTCTTCCGCTTTGCACTTTACCGGTCCTCCCGAATCGGACAGACCGTGGATTTTCTCTTTCCTCTATGTTCCCGTTTATCTCAGCTAAACTTCGTTTTCAATTATCCTTTTAGGCGATTTCAACCGCAAGAACACCAAGTCGATTTATCTGATTGCTGGCAAAATTTCGCAATTCGATCTTCTATTCTTTTTGTCTATCTTTTACCGTTATTATTGGATCGCAACATATCGCCACAGACATATTGTCATCTATTTTTCTTGGCTCTTTTACTAATTTAAATTTAGCACGAATGGCGTTAGAGAAAGAGATATGATTCAAGAGCAAGACTTTCTATCATGTCAGACTTACTTCTTGAATTTCTTACTAATTATTTTTCAAATTTCAATTATGTATAAAACTTTATATTTGGCTATTTTTGCTATGATTTTAAGAATACAATTCTTTGCGTTTTATCAAATAATCTTTCGTTGAGAAGCCGTAGAAAAATCTACATCACAATCACTTCAACTATCTAATCTTTTTTATATTTTTACTCGTCGTAACTCGTCGTTGTTAAATTCTGTTTGAAACCCAGGCACGACACGGGTGAAACAAAAAGGTGTTAAATGGAGAGAAGAGACATGTAAACTCGAGAGAATAAATAGAGGAAAAATTTTCGCTCTTTGCTCCGCTTCTTTGAAGAGGATAAAATAATTGTATCAAATTGCTCAAAAGGAATTCTTCTAGAAATATCTAGAAACGACATTTTACATGCGAAATTTGAATCTGGGGATGTGTAAAAAGCACTTTAATTCTATCCAAAGTAAACGTGAATGAAACAGAAGCATGCGGAAATATTTTTCTTTTGCGCGATTAATGTTTTGGTATGACATTCGTCGTTATCACCGTTGCAATCTCGACGTTGATCTTAGGCAACAGCTGTGTTAGATCCACATTATCATTTACCGTTAATGTGTAGGTTAACATAAATGAACTTAGGCGGATGGGTGCTGATCTGACACTCGTACAGGCCCTCGTCGCTGCTGTTAACACGCTTGATACGCAGACGCCAGTTGTCTGGGTACTGAAATTCGATGGTATACCTCGAATCGCCCGTATAAGTTTGGTGGCCTACTGTCAGCAGACTCATCTTCTCGCTACTCTCCTGCCGTCGCACCCAGGATACCTGTAATTCCAAATTACAGCGAAGAATGCAGTTGCGTTCCACATGAGATTTTCTCAGAGGACGAGCCTACATGGCCGCGGCTCATTTTTATAATCTTTCGCTTATTTGCAATGTTATTAGTAATCGCATAAATGTCTCCATAATTTGATAATTATCCTGATAGTATTTATGAACGTCAAGACCAGATTGTTGAGTATTTTGGTAAATGTTTGGATTAACTTACACATCACGGATTATTTTCATTTTTACATATATTGTAGAGGGTACATTTCTAAGTAATACACGCTTTAAATTTTGGGACCTTACCTTGGGTTAGATTAGATTTTTTCAGGGTGGGGGTGCAGGGAGATTATCTTTATATATAAGAATAAATATTTTTTAAAAATAAAGTATTCAGATAAAATAAAGAAAATATTACAAAACAAAGCAGTATATAATTGTTTATATTTTATTAAATCATATCGACAACTAAATGTAAACAAAAAGAAATTCTTAGCGAAACTAAACAGTAATCCAGAAGCGTACTGACAGTGATGCAATAACGAGCAAATGTAAACAGAAAAATATAAACACGCAAGTAGGATATTACGAAAAGATGATACAAGTATAAATACGAAAATTATAATACTTCAAAATCGCATATTCCTGGAACTAGAAGAGAGCGCTACAAAATTCAAAGCGTATAATATTTAGGAATGTATCTTCTACAATATATGTAAAAATGAAAATAATCCGTGACATGTAAGTTAATCCGAACATTTATCAGTATTTTTTCAAACCCATGTGTCTAACCATCGACCGATGTCAAGAAACGCTTGTAAAATATCAACAGGTATATAGAGTGTTCGGATTTGTTCGGTTGTATCGACAATTCTCGCGTATAATGTTACGGATTTTGTACACGAGTGCATTCTGATGCCATTATTCATTCTCTAAGAAAAATTTTATTCTCCCAGAGATATTGCAGGGTATCAAAATTTCTTTCTCCATGCCTTTACCTTCACAAAGAGCTATTAATATTTTTATTGCAATCTTGCGACGATCGAGAATTATTTAATACATTGTCAATAATGATAAGAATTATTTCAATCAATTATCGATTATGTGTTCTCAAACTAATAATAAACCAATCTTAGCAATATATTTTCATTGAAACATCTTATTGTTAGTAACAAATAGATATCGATGTAGTAGTAATCACGTTATTTGTATAGTTGAAATTTTGCAGGAAACTGAAAACCATTAATCCATATTTGTACATGTTTACGTAAGGGGCAGATTGAGGCACGGTGAACGTGAAATAGGGGATGCCGGTTTATCCATATAACTTGTTTATCCATATAAATTGAATAATGCGTTGTCGAGTAACACTATTATATGTATATATATCGTATATCATATATCTTCTATATCAATATCTATAAACGTTAATTATAATAGGTATTATTGATGCACTAGAAATTCGAGATCATTTGAGATCACCGAGTACAAACATGCAAGTCAAATTTTGATTGCGGCAGATATCTATTAAAATTCATTTTATTCAAAAATGCAAAAATTAACGCGACAAAATATAAGGAAGATAATATATTAGTGGTTTTTTCATACATTAATAAATGTAAATAAGACTTTATAAAAGAATTTGTAACATTATACGCAGACATTTGAATTATTTAATTTTACACAATCCATAACTCCGTTGTATTGGTCAGCTATACCGTAATTTGCTGCCAGGTAACAGGATATTATCTGTTCAAGAGCCAGAGAGATTCATGCGCACATAACCGATATCTGACCGCATAATTTGTTCTATAGTTTGGGGCATGGCTGATGCGGATACGGTTTGTTACTGCATTAAATAAAGCAATAAATGCATTCCAAATGTGGCAGTAGTTGAAAATACAAGCGTCACAGCCTTGTAACATGACACGGTTTCGTGATTATTAAATATAATCTCTATTTTTGCAAAAGAGCTTTCAAATACAATAATTAGAATACAATCAACGTGAAATTAAAAATATTTGCATTTGTCATTATAAAAGTTTTATATCTGTCACGTTATATTGAGTAAAAGTAATCGTACAGATGGAGAACAAATTTTTGCCACACGTAATGTATTCGGATTTATAGTGTTAAATTATTACGCGCAGATTACGCAAATAACCGGACTGCCGGCAGAGATTACGCGAATTCCTCCTTAAACTCGTTCCTTGAAGTTTAAAATATACGAACATTCGCGCGCGAGCACCAGCAGATTAATCATAATAAGCTAAACGTAGCTTACCCGGACCGTAATAAGGCAAAATATTCCGAGATTAGTCATGAATTATTGCGCGAATTCGTAACGGTGATTAAAAGGCGCGGGGTGTGGACCGGATACGGAGGAGAAACGAAAAGAGGACACGGAATGACCGAGTGTGATTGCGCTTACCGTTTTGTCCTGCAGCAGCGATATCCTACAGTCAAAAGTGACACTGGCGCCGGCCTGGACCGTAATATTGGAGCTCTCGCCTTCGAAGTGGGGGCCCCATTTGTGATCGTGATGATGCTGATGCTTGTTAAGGGTGCTGTGCGTGTCGAAGATGTAATTCAGCATTGGTGCATCCGTCGGCACAGATCGCTTCGCCGCCGTCGTCGATTTCGTAGAAATCGAGTCCGTCGCCAGAGGCAATTCTACAACAATATTTTAGCGCATTAAATATTATTTTAAAACATAATAAATAATTATTTATAAAATTTATACCAAAGATATTATGAGTAGCGTTTTATTTTGTTTTAATATCGAGAAAATTATTACCTCGTTATACAAGTGTAAAAGCAAATAGGCAATAAATTATATAATGGAGAGATATGTATTTTGTAATGTAATAAATATAAACCGCACCGCGCGTTGTATGCATTATATTATTTAACATTTCAAATATCGGCATATAAATTATATATTATAAATACGCGCGGCGCATACTCGTTCGGATTGTCATGACCATTTACGGCGTAACGTCAAATTTACGTGTATTTTCATATCGGGCGATTCTCTTTCCGCTTTTTGCATTCAATCTGTCGCTTCCGATCGTAACTCGTGACTTTGTTTAATCGATTCGATGGCATTTTCCCGTTTCGGGCCATCGCTCAGGGTTATCGACGTCCAGCCGACCTGCCAATAACGACTCATATCGGCGTAAATACGCATTTATGGCCATAGCAGGCCAATAGTCGAGACATATGACATCCTCGAGCCAATAGTCAGGACATATGACATTCTCGAACTGGTATTCTCGCTGCTTATGCTGTAATTATATATTTCGATCTTTTCGTATAGAGTTTCGCATAGTATGTTTCGCGTTATTCTATCCAAGAAATTTATATGAAAGTAAGAAAAAATACGGATAAAGGTTTTTCTCAGAATGTTACGTTTTCCTTTTTCCTCTCTTTCTACAATTAATAATAATATATAATTATAACTGCGTAAAACAACAAAATATTTATTATATTTTTTACTTATATTTGAAAAAGCATTGTATTCTAAAGCACATGTAATTTATAAAAATTTTATTTTGATCAATTGTTACATATTGTATTATTTCTAAGTGAAAAGTTAAAAAAAAAAATAATAATTTCTTTGTCTTTTCTAAATTTGATTTTTTGAATAAACCAGTTATTAAATTAAGTTTTTTTTGTATTAAAGATGTACTACTATAAAGCTATAAAAAATTGTATAAAAGCATTTAAAAAACGTGATTTTAATTCTTCTTTTATAGTTTCTGTTACAACAACGGATATTAGTTCGACTTAAGCAACGACATTTAGTTAACATATATCGTTTATTGTTCTTCGCTCCTAGTACTTTCAACTTTGATAATGATAATTTCCACAGTTACATTTTATGCTACTGACAAAGTTCACAAAGTACAATCCGACATAATCGGATGCGTAGAATATCTTTATGGATATTTTGTCGCAAAGTAGAAATCTTTTTCTAAGACAAACGAGAAAACGGAAAGACGAGAATGTAAAAGACAGAGAAAAAGAGAGAGAGAAAGAGAGAGAGAGAGAGAAAGAAGGAGACAGAACAAGTAAGATTTCGCATAGCACAACTACAATGGAGAAAGTCATTCCCTCGTCGGTGTTTCGAGAATCACCGAGTTAGACACTAACTCGCGACGATGAGTTTTTCTAGGTTTGTACCACGAAGGAAGCACCTCAGCAAGCAGACTAGTTGCTGACTGCTTGTAAAATCGAATGTCGAGATACGTGGCGTCGAGCTTCAAGCTAAGAAGAAGAAATAAAAGAGAGAGAGAGAATAAGGAGGAAATATTTCTTACTAAGTTGTAATGGAAGTACTATCCAGTTCTCGTCTTACTGATCACTTTGTCTCTCTTTTATATATGCATTTCTTGGCACAATAATTCTACAGAGTTTTTCTATATAAATAAAAAATATATAAATCACTTTTTTTTTTTTTTTTTTTTTTTAGAGTGTAGGCCATTACAAAGAAGTTTCTCTTTTTTTTAGAGAGGAGGTTGTCAAAAATTAATAATTAATACCCGATAGAAGATTTTTATACTTATTGTTAATATTAAAAATTGTCTAATGTTTAAGTAAAAACGTCTCTCACGGCTTTAAATTAAAAACCAAATCGCGAATTGTATTTCTTTGTGACGACCGCATTCTCTAAAGTATAAATGTGATACACATATATCTCAAGCGCTATAAATATAAGAAATCGAGCGATGGGATATGTCGAAAAATTTTGACGTACCGAGACGTACCAAGACTTTACCATCACAAGTCCCGTCACGTAACGCCAACAGAAGTTCCATCTGAGAGAGCACGAAAAGGACGTAAAGCCCAGTTGCAGTCGATTGTTCCACGACCGAAGACGAATTGGAGCACTTGCACAGGTAATCCTGACTTTCATCGAGTCAGCGATAGGTGCACGGAGAGAGGGAGTTTCTCTCCGAAACGGCAGCCACCGTGAGATCCGACATGGAATTCGGACGGCGTCGCGCGACAGGGAGGAAAGGGGAGTGAGAAAGATATATAGGGAAGCGCACAATTCCGCGACGCCAAGTCGCACGTCAAAAGGGATCAGTATGCCGCGGAGCGCGAAATTTTCCTTCCCGCGCCCGCTACTCTTCGTCATCCCTCGTATTTTCGAAGCTTTCTTATCCCTTTTCTCTTTCGCGTCGTGTCTTTCGCCGTTTCTCTTCTTCATCGGTCGCCTCGTCTCCTTCCTGCTCTCGCGTCAATTCCGTTCTCTCGATCGCGGAAATTTTTCCTCCGCCGGAGGGAAGAAAAACTGATCGGGAATTCCGGTGGAACTGTTGGAAGCGTGTCCCGGATACCGAGAAGAATCTATCTAGTCAGTCGATCGTCGGCTCGTCACACACACTCCCTCCTCTCTCTCTCTCTCTCTCTCTCTCTCTCACTCCGTCTCTTTCTATCTCGGATATGAAAATCGTCATGCGAGGTATTGACATTAGTATCACCGGTTGAAGGCTCTGCTTTGATATAGTAGCGTTGTTAAGGGAACGAATTGCAAAAATATATATGACATGAGTATATAATTTTCCTTCACGCACACTCGATCGATTCACGATGAAAACAAATATAAAATGTAATATTCCAAGTGGAAAACAATATTTTTGGTAATACATTTTACGAGCGGATCCTTAAATATTCCGACAAGACGCGATTAGTTGTCAATCTATGTTTAATAATCTTCAACAAAAATACGTACGTAAATTATACGACACGCATAATTATTTTTATGTATAGCGATGATATTTATAAATGTATAGAGAAAACGGTCGGATGTAATAAATCGTGATTCTCTTCGGAGCTTGTAATTAGTTGTTTCTACAAATCTCCTATCAATTACGAAAACTTCGCTTAATGAGAATCAATCCAAGTTTAGGATATCAGAATTTAACGAACGGTGTCGTAAATTATAATAATTTACGCGTGTATTATAATATGATACACACGTCACACATAATATAAACCAATCTTTGGAAACTTTCCCAATAGAAGCTGAGAAACGGAGCGAATCCGTGTCCAAACAGCTGACAGAGAAGTAAACAGAAACAACAGTGAAGCACCGTTAATCCCTGAGCAGTCACGCGCGGAATACGATGTAATTCTACTTCTAAAGTCCGGCATTCGGGTACTAAACAGAAGAGAGAGATGGTCGTCGTCGGTATGTCACTGGTACCAGGTGATTGCGACCATTTGTCGGCAAAGTATACATTCCGAAATCACGAGCTGGATTACACGGCGTGACTAATTACACGAACTCGTTCCAGTTAGACGCGACGTCTTGAATATATGTGACGCTCCGAAGAAACGCTTCGGGGGACGAGAAATAAGGGAACTTTTTTAAGGAATTTTTTTTTTTATTTAAGCGTACTTTTCTACATAAAATACATAGCACGACGAGAGAAAGAGACGAAACGTAGTCTCGCGAATGTTTCGTCTCTTTGCACGTTGCATGAACGAACAAGAGAATCTCATCCGAGGAAGAATCTCGGTCGTGTCAAGCATTGATTTGTTCTACTCGGAAATCGTTTGTACCGTGATGTGTGCGTTTCTACCGTTCTATCTTTGTTCTCGGTTCCTAGTCCGTGGATATCGTTCTAGAATGGTGGTTTTCAACCCTTTCCTATAATTGTCTCTCAGAGATCTCCATTTTCATACTCGATGGACGGACAGAGAAGCGAGATTCACACACACGCCGTTGAGAATGCGTGATACAATCGCGTACGGTTTCTAAATCACGATAAATAATTCCGATTCGTACCGCAGGCCACTCCGTTGCTCTCTCATGTTTTATGCATACTTTACCATGCAGCGTGTTACGTGTTACACATCGTCGTAGGCTCACGATGCAGTTGGGGATCTGTACATACATCTTGCCAATCGCGCCCTTTCTTCTCCTGTTTCTTCGGTATCGCTCGCTTCGTCAATGAATGGAATCATGTTAAACTTGTCGCTCCGGCCACTTTCTATCGATATTCCAGTATAATAAAATACATATCGATAGAATTTATTGTATCTTTTTTGGCTTGTATGTATATATGCTAAAAACAATATTGATGAAAAAAAGAGAAAAATTGGATATCTTATAAAAATAATGTTTATATATATTTAAGAACAATTTATCTATATTCGCGTAATTTTTCATGTGTTTCATAGAATGAAATAATTTCCGTTATTTCCATTTTTAACAGAGAAAAGTATATTTTCCTAGAAGAAAGAGAGAGAGAGAGAGAGAGAGAGAGAGAATGATTATATTTAGATTTCATAATTGTTTATTAAATTACTTACTAAATTATTTATCTTATAAAAATAATGTTTATACATATTTAAGAACAATTTATCTATATTCACGTAATATTTCATGTGTTTCATAGAATGGAATAGTTTTCATTATTTCCACTTTCAATAGAGAAAAATATATTTTCCTAAAAGATCAATTTAAAATTAAAATGAAACAATAACATAATAATATCTTCCCTCACCTTCGTAAGATCAATTGAAAAAAAAGAAACTGTTTCAAAATATCAAAAAATTTGCAAGTTAATATTATGAAGAATCTGATTTTAATAAAGAATAAGAATATCAAAATTTCAAATCGATTTAACACGTACAATATATTGCTGAGAAATAGTTGT